TAGGTGCAAGGGGTTCAGCCGAGGCTGTGGTCCGTGGGGGTGCCAAGTGAGAATCCATGGAAAGTGTAATTGTTTCGGTCCCGCAGCCTCCCACCCACCTCGGAGCCCAACTGGGGGACGGCCACACTCCCCCGTAGGGTGGTGGTCCGCCAGGAGTACTGCAGGACTATACGGGGGCCGGGACGCCAAAAGCAGCAAGACGAAGCCGCCGGGTACGGGGCCGCGTGAGCCGCGGCCGCCGCAGAGCCATGCGGCACGGGACCGGACCTGATCCCGCGCGCGGACATGGATACGGTGGCGCTAAGCCCCGCGCTGAAGGAATCAGGCGGCCCCTGCACCCGGCGGCAACCCCCCGCATACCCGTCGCCCAGCCCCCTTGACCCCGATTAGCCAGTGCCGCACAAGGCGCCGCCTGACCGGCCGATTTCCCTCATGCGAGGCCAACATGGGGCATCCCGCAGATCCGGGGATTGGCGCCAAAGGCATGTGTTGGAAGGCTGCCCCGACTAACCCGCAGGGCAGCCCCCTCAACGCCCAGACATCCTCTCCCCGGTCTTTGGGCCGAAGGTACGGCTAGACCGATAAAACCAGGGGAACCAGAGAACAAAGAAGATGAGCGAATGCAAAAAAAAAACATGGGGGAGCGTTCGAAACCGATGAGGCAAGCAGCCTGCAAGACCGGTACAGCGTAGGAAAACTGAAAACTCAATCAACGCGAGTATCCGCAAAAAAGGCAACAGACAGGTACAAAACAACCAAGAGCAATTCACGTGAAAAGAGTGCAATGCAGCAAACTGGCAATGGAATCGTGCACATGGAAGATAAGCAAGTGTAAAAAAAAAAACTGGGGAAGCGTGCGGAACCGGTGAGGCAAGCAGCCTGCAAGACCGGTACAGCGCAAGAAGACTGAAAACGCAGCCAATGCCAGTGACCGCAAAAGAAATATGGGCAACAAACGGGTACAAGACGACCAAGAGCAATTCACGTGAGAAGATGGCACGATTAGAGACTGGAATCGCGTTATGCAATGGAATCGTGCACAGAGAAGATGAGCAAGTGTTAAAAAAACTGGGAAGCGTGCGAAACCGATGAGGTAGGCAACCAAATGAGTGCAAACCAGCCAGGTGAGAAGACGGCAACGCGGCCGACTGGCAATGGCATTGGGCAAACATCAAATCCAGCAAATGTGGGCTAAGTCAAGATCACACATATGGCAATCAACGCGAGTATCCGCAAAAAAGGCAACAGACAGGTACAAAACAACCAAGAGCAATTCACGTGAAAAGAGTGCAATGCAGCAAACTGGAAATGGAATCGTGCACAAGGAAGATAAGCAAGTGTAAAAAAAAAAAAACTGGGGAAGCGTGCGGAACCGGTGAGGCAAGCAGCCTGCAAGACCGGTACAGCGCAAGAAGACTGAAAACGCAGCCAATGCCAGTGACCGCAAAAGAAATATGGGCAACAAACGGGTACAAGACGACCAAGAGCAATTCACGTGAGAAGATGGCACGATTAGAGACTGGAATCGCATTATGCAATGGAATCGTGCACAGAGAAGATGAGCAAGTGTTAAAAAAAAAAACTGGGAAGCGTGCGAAACCGATGAGGTAGGCAACCAAATGAGTGCAAACCAGCCAGGAGAAATTCGCGTGAGAAGACGGCAACGCGGCCGACTGGCAATGGCATTGTGCAAACATCAAATCCAGCAAATGTGGGCAAAGTCAAGATCACACATATGTGTATCTAGGGCTGAGGGGGGGGGGGGGGGGCGCTATTCCACTTCACCCGAGTGTGCCCGTGCGGTGCGTGAGAATGCAGAAAAGGCAACCAATGAAAATGCTCGCAAGAAAGCTGGGCAACAGACAAGTGCAAAAACTTAGTGCAAACCACGTGAGAAGACGGCAAGGCAGTATAAGCTGGCAGTGAGAAGAAACACCCGGAAGGAGCGGAACCGGGCGCAAAAAAGACACTCATCAGAAACAAAGGGAAAAAAGAAACCAAGAAAGGTCTGACTTGTCGTCTATCAATCCAGGGTCGAGTCCGGTTGTAATCGAGCATGAGTCAAGCTGGGGCCGAGGGGGCGCTACTCCCCTTGCTGGCGGAGGTCAGGGCCGCCGCAGGACGCGGGCACAAGGAACCCAGGCCACCGCCAGCCCCCTGCGGGGCCAATCTTGCAGAAAATCCATCCGACAATCAAATCAGAGCCGAGGTCGAACGCAAGTCAAGCTGGGGCCGAGGGGGCGCTACTCCCCTTACTGGCCGAAGTCACAGCCGCCGCGAGGCCAGAGCCCAATGGTCCCGGCCAAGCAACGGCTCTGACCACGGTCAGCCCCCTGCGGGGAGAGTTTCATTATCCATGCTTTGCAAACAGTGCCATAACAACACAGTTTATTAATCACCAAGCTTCTTTGCAAGTTTCAATACAGTTGAATCGCACGCGATTTGAGTGCAAAAATCAAGAAAAGTGCCAACTTGTTCCCGTAAAATGTTTTGAATATTGACCTAAAAAAATGAGTAATTTCCAGATAAAATAACAGCGAAATCAGTTTTCGCTTGCCAATAAAACTCACAGATATTGAAGCTCCATTATTAAAGGAACATTTTAGTATATGCCATTCTTGATAAAACTTCTTAGCCACGCAATACCAGCGCAAAATAAAGAGACACTGAAAACACGACCAATCACTCCGATTTACGATAGGAAAATACATAGAAAATGTATGTCTCAACTGCGCCAAATATACAGACAGTTATATACCTACATGTGACGTCATGATTAGCCCGACCAATCAGAAGCAAGTTGTTTTCAGCCACAAATAATTAATTTCTGAACTAATTAGGCATTTTTTTAACAAAGTGATTTTAAATTAAATCATTAAAAATTCTGAACTTTTTTATTTTACCAAAACATACAAAGCATGCAGATAGGTCCCAACCCTATTGTTGCAATATCTCGGTAACTACTTGGCCGATTGCGCTCAAAGTTGGCATGTAGGTAGGCACCCACTAGGCACTGCATATCCATGTGCCAGAGTTGGGGTGCTGCTGCACGTGCGCACGTGCAGGGGTCGTTTCCAGATCTCGAGAACGGCTCGACCGATTGCGCTCAAATTTGGTACACAGTTAGGGACCGGTTAGTAGGGTGCCGTGCACAAGTCAGTTGGACCCATTTTGCACGTGCGCACGTGCAGGGTGCCGCTTCCAGATCTCGAGAACGGCTGGGCCGATGGTGCCCAAATTTGGCACATCGCTAGAGACCGGTTAGTAGGGTGCCGTGCACAAGTCAGTTGGAGGTACCCCCTCGAAATTCCGCACGTGCAAGGCTCACCCTCTCGCTCGCTCCGTTAGTCGCCCCAAAAGGCGTTATACTGGTCACAATTATCACAATGAATGTGACGAGGTTGGCAATAGCAATCGTCCGACCTTTCACGGTATTCAACTATATCTTTAACGGTTTTACGACAAAGATTGTAGGTCGTCGTACTAAGCGTGCCGGCTACGAGCTGCATGTCTATGATGATTACCGGGTCGAACTTAACATGATGCTATTTTGGTTGTGGGGTGGGGTGGGGACAGGGAGGCCAAATTAATCATGGGGGAGGCTAAGTCGGGTATTTTTTTATTGGAATTTTAAACGAAGCTGGGGAAAAGAACGGTCGGATTATACTGGCGCTCCCGGCTGGTAAGCACATCAAAATACTGAATGCCCGGCACCCTGCTGACACCACCGAGCTGGCAAAGTTCTGTTGGCTTCAAACTTCTCAAGTTCACTCCCTATTTTATTTCAATTAAAATTCCCCTATAAATGGTCACATATTGCTACGATCACGTAGCATGTTTGTGTAAATGTTCAACTGTTCCGTCCAGGATATGCCGAAGCCATGCTAAACCAGTATAGCGCCTTTTGGGGCGACTAACGGAGCGAGCGAGAGGGTGAGCCTTGCACGTGCGAAATTTCGAGGGGGTACCTCCAACTGACTTGTGCACGGCACCCTACTTACCGGTCTCTAGCGATGTGCCAAATTTGAGCACGATCGGCCCAGCCGTTCTCGAGATCTGGAAGCGGCACCCTGCACGTGCGCACGTGCAGAATGGGTCCCAACTGACTTGTGCACGGCACTCTACTAACTGGTCCCTAACCGTGTACCAAATTTGAGCGCCATCGGTCCAGCCGTTCTCGAGATCTGGAAACGACCCCTGCACGTGCGCACGTGCAGCAGCACCCCAACTCTGGCACATGGATATGCAGTGCCTAGTGGGTGCCTACCTATATGCCAACTTTCAGCGCAATCGGCCAAGTAGTTACCGAGATATTGCAACAATTACAAAACTGACACCTCTTCGTTTTGCGCGTGGCACGTGCATAAGGGGTCACCCACATGCATCGGGAATAGTCCAATACTTGGTAGAAGGAATGAAGCTACCTTACAAAAATTACCCCATGTAAATCGGTCAAGTGGTTGCTGAGATATAAGCCTCGCAAAAGCGTCCGCACGGCCGGCCGGCCGCTCATACTCAGAAATTTCCGTTTATCTAAGGAAAGACTACGCTCGCTTCGCTCGCTCCGTAATGAGTAGATACGGCTTTCTTCCAAACTGCCTGGGCCAACGATTCGGCTCATATTTCACAGGCCACCATCAAATAAAAGCCGTATCTACAAGATACGGCTTTCTTCCTGACTTATCAGTTCCACATTCTTTGTTTGAAATTTTGTATAAATGCCGTATCTGCCAAATTTAAGGATACGGCTTTCTTCCTGCGTGTTTTGCTATCCCTGATTAACAAATCCGTTTTTGAATTTTTATATTATATATAATATTTTCATTTTTGAGTGTACACACGTTTGAGCAGTACCATTAAACGCATCATGAAAAGAGCTTCCCAACGATATCAAAAACGAAAAATCGATAAAAAATGCGACTTACGGCTTTTTTCCTCCCGACGGCAGTGTTCTACCCTGCCCCGACCCTTCGCCTCCCAATCCCGGAGTGGTCACTCACATGGGGAACTTGTTGAACAGTCCTGCGGCAGTGTGGACGGGTTTGCGGAACTGACGGACGTCCCACAGCTTCAGCGTCTCGTCGCCGCCGCGGGTGGCCACGCTGACGTTGTCGTAGGAGAAGACGATGCTGGATGTCTCGGTGCCGCGCTGGTGGCCGTCCCGGACCAGCATAGTGGTGCTCACCTGTGGGAAGGAAACGGATGGCGAGGTGACCGGTGTGGAGGTTCACTGGAAGCTTCAGTCGGTCAGAAACAGCCGATGGCGCCAATTAACTTCTTAAAATGGAGACAACGTAGAAAGCTTAGAAACAAAAACTGCCTCAAACAGTCTACATTATTTTAAAACATTCATTGAAGACGACACCGCACCCTTCGCGTAATCTCTGAATATGCCACCGTTGTCACTCACGTAAGCCTTCCTGTGGTCCCACATCCCCAGCCTGAGAAGGTCGACTCACGTAAGCCTTCCTGTGGTCCCACATCCCCAGCCTGAGAAGGTCGACTCACGTAAGCCTTCCTGTGGTCCCACATCCCCAGCCTGAGAAGGTCGACTCACGTAAGCCTTCCTGTGGTCCCACATCCCCAGCCTGAGAAGGTCGACTCACGTAAGCCTTCCTGTGGTCCCACATCTGCAGCGATCCGTCCGTACAGGCGGCTGCCACCAGGTGACCATCGCGACTGTACGTGCACGCGCTCGGGTGCGTCTTCAGGCCGCCCATGGCACGGGGCTTCACCACGTGCCGCTGCGACTTGGCCGCGTCATCCACGTGCCAGATGCGGCACGTGCTGTCGGCACGAGGCGAGGGTTAGTTAGGACTTAGGAGGGTGGAGACAATATACGAAAACGTGAGTGACGGAAAAGACTGGGTACTGGACAATGTGCTGGAAAAAAGGCATATCCATAGCAGCTGAAGCTGGGTAATGGCCCTAGGTTACACATGACTTTACTCAGTGTTTACATTTTACTCAGATACACCTTAGCACTAAGGGAACTTACCCGTCGCTGGCGCACGTGAGGAACTCCTCTTTGATCTTGGGGTGCCAGGCGGCGCCGCTGACACCCGCCACGTGGCCCTTGGTGCGCTTCATGTCCACCAGGTACATGTCCCCGCGTAGCGTCTCGCACAGCTCGACGCCGTCGCGGTCAAACACCTTGACCTTTGCGCTGCCGGAGGTGGCCAGTACTCTGTCGCCGGTACTCGAGTACTGAGCGGATGTGATCGGGTTGCTGAGGGCCGCACAGAGCAGCGTTTGAGGTCAGTTATGGCGGGGTGGAGGCCAGAGGGTTTGAACCGTGTTCAGTGCTTAATGCCGATCTATTCCGGATAAGTGAGAAGCAAAATATACAGTTATGGGAAATTGTGAACTAAATGGAAACAAGCAAAGCATTTTTGTTATTTTTCATGCAATACCACAAACCGTTATGGATCAGTTGGCCTATAATTAATCCTACAGAAACCAAAACAAACACGTCATACAAACAGATCAACCATCTCCTGATTCGCTCTCCGACTTTCCTTCTCCGCCTCCCTTCACCGCAATCTACCCTCCACCACCCCCAACCCCGTCCTCCATCCTCCGTCCACCGCCCTCCGTCCACCGCCCACCGTCCTCCGTCCACCTCCCTCCGTCCACCGTCCCCTCCGTGCTCCGCCTCACCTCTCGAACGGTCTCATATCGCGGAAGCTGCGGCGCGACAGGTCCATTCCATTGAAGTCCCAGTACTTGACGACATAGTCGAGTGCGCCGGTGACCACTCGCGATCCGGCGGGGTCGGCAGTGAGCGCCGTCACCGGCTTCGAGCCGTGCTCCAGCGACATGTCGGTGGACACCGGTATCCAGCCGCGAGGGTCCTGCCCCAGTGAGGGGGATAGAGAGTCAGACCGGGACCCAGCCGCGAGGGTCCCGTCCCAGTGAGGGGGATAGAGGCTAGAGTCAGACCGGGGTCCAGCCGTGAGGGTCCTGCCCCAGTGAGGGGGATAGAGGCTTAAGTCAGACCGGTATCCAGCCGCGAGGGTCCTGACTGACCCAGCAGGGTGGGGTCAGACGGAGGGAGACAAACGGCGGAGGAGGGGTGGGAGAATACACCGGGATCTTATTTCAATCGCCCACTCCTGACGTGGTAGAGGGGGAGGGTAGGGGAGGGCGACAGACGGCGGAGGAGCTGAGGGCTGTGTGGGGTTAGAAAAATGAGCAGACTCACAAGCACAGACAAGGGGGAAAATGGCAAGACCAGAGGCTATGTCCGGGGTCAAGGATTCCCGCATGGCTGCTTTTACAAAATAAACGAAGTAGTTAAGACGCTGGAACGTCCTTAGACTAGAGCCTAAGAGACGCAATGAAAGATATATGACGTAGCAAAATTTATCACGATTCGAGCACGTCTTATCGATACTGACACACTTCAAATCACGGACAATGACTGACCACTGATCGCCAATACCTCAGGCAGGAAGCTTCTGTTTTGCAGCATCACTCACGTCATCATCCTCGTCATCGTCGCTGACGTCACTGTCCGCGTCCTCGTCGTCATCGGCGGCGTCATCGGCAGTCTTCTCCGCGGTGGCGGGCGGCAGCGGAGGACCTGGGCGCAGGCAGAGCCGCACGTAAAAACGAGATACAAATCCGCACACGCAAAATGGGCGAAGATTGACCAGGTGGGGTAGATTACAAAAAAAAAGACGGGACAGAAGTACGGTATAGTTGTGCATTTTTCAATAAAAACGTTTTGTAGTTTATATTTGATCGAATGGCACACAGTTTTACCATATTTTAGCCTAGAAGCCTCCCATGAAAATAAGCTAATTGCCTATTTTACGCTAGACAGTAGTGTTAAGTGGCAGCTGGCCATTCAGGCATAGGCTGCATGGCTGACTTCAATGACAAGTTATCTTTGTGGGAAGGAAAGCAATCATGAAAGATTGAGTGATAGTGAAAAGGTAACTTGGTTGCTTGGTGGTATTGGGGCACTAGCAACAAAACGTGTTAATTACCAATAAGCTCTTCATCATCAGATTCTTCTGCATCATCTTGCTTGCTGCCTGAAGCTTCTTCTGCTGTGCCTGACTGGTCTTCACTTGATGACATTTCTGTCATCTTTTCTGAAAATGACAGATTTAAATTAAAGCTGTAAATTGTGGGCAAGAATATGATCATTAGTATATTGATGTGTACCATAAAGATAAGTTAGTTTAGCAGCAATATGACACTGATTTATGGGTATATATTTACATAAAAATATCTTCAAGTGCATGAAAACTTACCAATGTTGTCTTTATTACGCTGAACTGCTGTTTCCAGGGTATCCTTCAAGACAGTGTTGATATCAAACTGTTTTGCTTTTTTACCACCAAAGCTGCCAAAACCCATGACCTTTGCCATTTCATTGCTTTCTTCATCCATACTCTGCTCATCCCCTTTCACTTTATCATCAGCTACATCCTTTTTACCAAAGGATCCAAACCCTTGAGGTGCTTCAGCATCTTCTGAGTTATTGCTTTTTTGGTCAGCTGTATTTGAGTCTTTTTTGGAGGTGCCAGCAGAAGCAAAAGATATTTTTCCAAATGATATCTTCTTCATCTTGTCTTGAACTGTAACAAATATCTGAAAGCAAAATTTGATGATTAGACTGGACTACTGACATAACAACTCTTAAAATGCCTAGACAGAAATGTACTTTAAACTTAGAAACTCAGAATAAACACTCCATACATTCAAGAGCTCATTATCATCCTAGAACCTTCAGATGTCTGCACTTTCCATGATATAACCATAACTAGGTACCAAAAGTGGGACGCCGGTGAAGACAGGGCGCCGGAGGGCATATTTGGTCACGTGACTATTGAGAAGTTCTCCCCCTCTGAATGCCCTCTGCACAGTGATTGTCACGTGGTTTGTGGGAGTGATTTTCAAGAGCCTTGATCAAGTCGCCCCAGGCGCCCTGTTTTCACCGTCGTCCCAAAAGTGCCTGATTTCCAATACTTTGTTTGTTTGTTTGTTGGGGGTTAGGGGCGCGCCGACTACGAGGTCATTTTGCGCCTTTCCAATACTTTATTCTTTTACAAAAAATGTACACATACAAATGATAAAATATTACAACAGAGCCTAGATGAAATCAACATGAATATTATTAAATAGGCATGCACCTATATATGAAACAATATTCTTGAGAAAAAAAAAACTGAACGTCAACCAGACTTGTGACAGCTCAAGAAAAAAGTGAGCTCGCTCAGCTCAACTCCGTCTTATCCGCTCCCGCTCAGCTCCCGCTCAGTTTAACGCGGCTCAGCTCAGCTCACGTTCCGCTCAAACCGGCTGCGCTCCGCTCACGCTCAGCTCAGCTCAGCTCAGTTTCCGCTCAGCTCAGCTCAGCTCAGTTTCCGATCAGCTCAGCTTAGTTTCCGCTCAGCTCAGCTCAGTTTCCGCTCAGCTCAGTTTCCGCTCAGCTCAGCTCAGTTTCCGCTCAGCTCAGTTCAGTTTCCGCTCAGCTCAGTTTCCGCTCAGCTCAGTTCAGCTCAGCTCAGTTTCCGCTCAGCTAAGCTCAGCTCAACTCAGTTCCCGTTCAGCTCAGCTCAGTTTCCGCTCAATTCAGCTCAGCTCAGTTTCCGCTCAGTTAAATTCAATGCCACCCATTGCCGAATGCCGAATGCCACCCATATCTCCGTAACGTGTCGGGGTCCGGCCAATGACGTCACGGCAATGCGTGTGCTGATTGGTCATGGACATCGAATCATCGGGACACAGGTCGGGACATCACGCCGCAGTGGATAAGGATACCAACCGAACGGCTTACAACGGTGCGAACGGGGTGCAATAGAGGAATGTAGCGATTTCCCGACCGATCGCTTCAGTTTGCGGTGTCGAACTACATGGTCTTTCACCTAGTGACGTCTTTGGTTTGTATATAATATTATTTCCAGTTTATCATGTTTCTAGTGTTTATAGTGTATCAATATTCAATGCACATTGCATTCGGTTTTATATTTTTATCCGTTCTCATCATCTTCCAGTGTACCTACTAGAACTGGATCAGCTCAGCTCAGCTAAATCAGCTCAGCTCAATCAGCTCAGCTCAGCTCGCTCAGCTCAGCTCAGCTCGCTCAGCTCAGCTCAGCTCAATCAGCTCAGCTCAGCTCAATCAGCTCAGCTCAGCTCAATCAGCTCAGCTCAGCTCAATCAGCTCAGCTCAGCTCAGCTCAACTCAGCTCAATCAGCTCAGCTCAGCTCAGCTCAGCTCAGCTCAAGCTCATTCAGCTCAGCTCAGCTCAAGCTCATTCAGCTCAGCTCAGACAGCAGCTCAGCTCAATGCATTACTGAGTCGGCTCAGCTCACAGCTCTACAATTTGGCAAAATGTTGAGCCGGCTCATGAGCTGAGCTGATTTTTTAGCCGGCTCAACTGAGCTGATCACAAGTCTGACGTCAACATCAACCTGCCTGACACCATTCAATTCCATTGATTCACGAGATTGCAAAAAATCGAAACTCTTTAGTATTCTCAAGGCTATATAAACCGTATTCTGACACGCATATTAAAAATAATCGTCTTCAGCTTATGGCAGAATGACACAGCTTAACATCACATTGGCCTTTACTCTGTAGAAATGGTAAAAACTCTCTAAAAATGACTCCAATCGCCGACCATCTCGGCGACCAAAGGGGGCACGGGCGTTTCTTATAGGTATCTTGGCACGGGCTTTCAAAAGTCTCATTCGCGCATTATTTGTCTACCATTTCAGCTGGCTTCAAACTGTTTGTGATTGCGTACTTGATTACGTAATAATTTTGGTACAAATATGATGCAATGGGCAATGGCACCACAGTAGTCGAAAATTATGCCCTATATATTGATGAGGAGATATTGATGCAACAATTAATGGAATTTTCATGCAATAATTTTCGTTAATTACGGTTATCTATCAAGGGCGGCGCCACCGTGGGGGCAGTGGGGGCAGACTGCCCCCACTGGTAGGAGGCCGTGGGGGCAAGACTATGTTTTTGCCCCCACAAAATTTGGCTGATGTTGACAAGGGAACAGAAGGCCGGTGCAACATTCATGATATGCGGTTATAATAGTACGCTGTTTTTGACGGTCCCCGTATCAAATGCATCAGCAGAACGTTCGTTCTCGGATCGTCTGTCGCATATATCCTACTCCCACCAGTGGCGGCGGAATAGGGGGTGCAGGGGGTGCAGCTGCACCCCCATCGAAAAACATGGGGGTGCAAACATATCTTTTTGCACCCCCAAAATCCGTACAAGGGGCCCGTCGCACCATCCAATAAATTTTCTCCTGAAAACTAGTGATCGGGAAACGAACACTGATGTGGAATCATCCGGGATGTCCAATTATGGTCAGGAGCGCCCCATGCTAGTCTTTGGGGCCCCCACACCGGCTAGAAGTGCCCCGAGCCGCGTTTAGCACTCCATGCGGCATCTGAGGGCCCCACGACGGCCCCAGAGGACCCTTTTATGACGATCTCTGAGGGCTCCCACGACCTCTGTCCCCTGGGGCCCTACAACGGCCACTAAGGGCCCTCATAACGACCGCTGAGGGTCCCACAGAGACTTCAGGGCCCCAAGGACCTTAAACAAAAACCCAAATCATACCAACTTGAAGTCCTCCTGCACGGCCGCGGACTCGGTGGCGGGGGCGGTCGGCTGGTGGCTTGGCACTTCCAAAATTTTTTGCAAGAGTCAGGTAGGTTTACCGGTGGATACTAAATTACCTATTCTGTTCGCTGAGCCGGGTGGGCCCGCGCCCGTCGCTGGGCACGCGTGGGGGCGGCTGGCTGCGCGAGACAATCCGAGACACGGCGGCGGCGGTAGTGGTAGTGATACTGGAGATAGTGAAGAGGTCGAGATTTGGCGCCTCGAGATAAGCCCATGGCTTTTGCGCCAACTCTCCTTGATACGTACTCGATGTACCTCATGTACTATGCCAATAAACTCCGTGTGTGTGAAGGAGACTCCAGGGGCCACGCTGGCCTCTGAGGGCCCTTACGATGATCTCTGAGGGCTCTCACGACGACCTCTGTCCCCTGGGGCTCTATAACGACCACTAAACTAAGGGCCCTCATGACGACCGCTGAGGGTCCTACAGGACTCCAGGGGCCCCGCTGGCCTCTGAGGGTCTCTACGACGGTCTCTGAGGGCCCTCGTGACGGCCCTAGACCCAGCTCAAGTATGAGGGCCCATTTGGCTTCAGACGGTCCAGCGACGGCCTCTGAGGGCCCCAACACAACCAGGCTGCAGGGGCTATGCTGGCATCTGAGGGCCCTGCAACGGTCTATTGAGGGCCCTAACGATGGCCTCTAGCGGTCTTAACAAGGCCTCTGAGAGCCCTGCAAAGGTGTCTGAGGGCCCATGAAGACCCTCACTATGGCCAAGGACCCTCATGACGAACTCTGATGATCCTCTCGAAGGCTTCTAAGGGCCCTCACAACAACTTCTGAGGACCTTAGGAGGGGTCAAAGTGGGGCCTCAACCCTGAGGGGTTAAGGGCCCTTTCTCAGGCCCTCAACCCTTCAGGGTTCTCAGGCTCCCCCTCAGGATTCTCAGGCCCCATGTCGGCACTTTATCTGCTCTTGTGCCCCGTCGCCGGCTCTCTGAGAGTCTCAATGTCGGAACTTATGGGGCCATGGGCCCTACATCGGCTTTTATGGCCCCTACATCGACTCTTGGGAATCATGACCCATGAAATGTGGGTCTAAGCGGATTTAACCCTATTCCTGGCGGGGGGGGGGGCCTCAGGAGCCCCCCCCTGAGGTTTTTTGGTTATTTCTCCCAAACGCGTTGAGCTAGGAAGCTCAAATTTTCTGACTTTTCCTAAAAGGCTTCTACGCAACATGTCTGAAAATTTTGAGTTGATCTGACCTCAGGTCAGGTCACCAGAGGCGGTTTGGTGACCCTACCTCAGAAAAGTTTGCAATCACGCCAGAGCTAGAGTTTTTGACCGATCAATTTCTTCTCTTCAGGGTTTAGTTAGGATACCAGTATGTGCAATTTGTATATCTCGGAATTTTGATATCGGTGACCTAAGGTCAGGTCAATTTCGCGACCTCCCCATTATAAGTCAATGGGGGAGAAATCAACTCCCTGTTTTTACCACTAAAACGGGTCGGAATGGCCCCATATACCATACATGACTTCATATACGATCAACCTTCACTACCTTGAGGTCTGTTTTGCTGTTGGGCAGCTGTGAGGTCATGTGACGTCATCAAAGGTCACCAAAGGTTTTTGGCCAATAACTCCGTACAGGAACAAGATACAGACGCGTTGATGGTCTCATTGTGTTCAGCTCGTCAAGACGCATCGATTGATATACATGATGACCTCGAGGTCACGTGACCTGAGGTCAACCTTTGACCTTGACCTTTCGAGGTCAACATATATATCATTCGATGCGGATTGACGAGAGGATCACGATGATGCCCTTAGTTTGTTCCTATCTTGACTAATTCGAAAGTCATTCGAGAAAAACTCTCTCCATATCTAGCGCCGCCATTTTGACTTTTTCGACTCCTGTGACGTCATCTTTAACCTGACCTGAAAATGACCTTAGTAAAAATTGTAGATCTTGGCCGTGCGTATCCGATGCCGTTTACTGCTTGTCGCTATCTTGCTTCGTTCTCGAGATCTCAGGGGGGGGCCGAATCGGCCCCCCCCGCCAGTTTCTTGTCCCGGCGGAGCCCGCCAGGAATAGGGTTAAGAATCCCCATGCTGGTTCTAGTAGCCGCCAGCCGAATATTTGGGCTCACACGCGAGCTCCTGGGACCCCGTGCATACCCCAGGGGTCTACCTGCCTCTAAGACCCCACACATACTTTTGGGGCTCAAACGCTTGCCCCTCCCCTGAAGGCCCCACTGAGACCCCTTTCCTCTATTCAGTCCTCCATACCGGCTCTTTAGGCTAAACATCGGCTCTTGTGGCCTCCGTCCCGGCTGTTGAGGGCCTCCATACAGGCTTTTTTTGAGGTCCGATGCCGGTTTCTGAGAGCCATCAAAAGACTTTCGAGCCTTAGCCTATACTGCCAATACTGCCTTTCAGCAACTTTCAAGGGACCGACCCTGATCGGAGGGCTCATTCAGTCTGGGGAGTCATGTAGGTCTCTGGAGGAGTCTCTATGTGGTCGGTTTCCAAGGGACTTCTAAACACGGTCTTCTTGGAACGGTCTCGTAGGGCCCTCAATGGTCCACTGCGGATCCAGAAAAGTGGTTTGAGACGCTGCGTGTGGTGGCTAGACTAAAAGAATAGCCGATAAAAAACTAGCTGCATTTGCTTCTGTATGCCTTCATTATTTGGGATAGGTTGGTACACTGCAATTTCAAACCTTTTACAGAACTTGTGTGTATGGCGATTGGCGATAGTTTTCCCAAATCTTCGTTTTTCTTAAATCAATAATAATCACTAAAAAAAAATAAATGAAGGGGGCCCAAAACTTCCAGAGGGGCCCCTTGAGAAAACTTTGCACCCCCATCCAAAATTACCTTCCGCCGCCACTGACTCCCACTCATTCTCCTACTCATTTTCATTCACCAGAAGGCTGCCCTCGCCCCTCGAGCTTGACCTCGAGGAGGTTGAGAGGCAGTTTGTCAAAAGTCGGCCAGAGAAGAGATCACCCTCTTTTGGGAACCCTTGAGACTGAGACTGAGCTCAGGGAGGTATGACAAATTGTGATAGGTAATAGGTATGTATGTTCGGGTTATCTGGAAATGTATGTGGGTCGCCCAAATGGAGCTTATTCTGGTAGGCATCAATCGTGTGTGAGAGAATCGCACATATACGTACTACGGGAAAGAGAGAACTAGGTACTGACTAGTGTTGTGAGGAATACACCATTTTACATCTCAACGAACAACATAACGTTTTCACAGGTTTGTGTCTCGCAATCTAGTTTTATAGTTTTATTTGTTCGCGACCCTAACCCGGCCGGGCCCGGGGGTAATCCCAACCACCGCAGCCCGGGGGTAGCCCTCCCCTCACCTGTCTAACAACGTTGATAAGGCAGCTACGGAAACAAAAATGGACCCAAACGAAAGGTATCTACGAGAAGATTCTAAAGCACCTAAACTTTGTTTTACCTCACGTCAATTTTCAAGGTCAGGAGTCAAGGTCAAAGGCAGAAACCGGCGCTTTTGTAGTGGTCTCAAAGTACGTGTTTCAGAGGACGGCATGGTGCATAAAACCGGCTAAAATTGATGGTAAACGAAAGAAGAGAGTCTGAGGATTCGGATTCCGATGATGTGCATAACATTCAGATTCAAGATCACGGTCATGCGCAAAACTGACCACAAACTTTGCATTTTTTCTTATATCTTGTATACCAAATTCCGAGATGTTTTGAAATGTTTCGGAGCTTAGCGGACCCCTATTTGTGCTTAAACTTACGATACAAGGCTGGTACAGAGCACAGGGTCAAAGTCACAAGAGTATGCTTGCTAGAGACTATTTCACTTATTCAACTCAGGCATAATAATTAAGACATGTTTTGCCATCCTGATGCTCTAAATGAATGCTTAGAGCAAAATGGATGCCAGAATCGTGACCAGTGGCTACGAAATCATCACAAACGACCTTTCATGTGTAAAAGTCAACCAAAGGTCATTCGAGGTCACATGAGGTCAACATATAACTTGACCCTTTCCAAACAATTTACGTGTATGTCATTCGACGCGTCTCGACAAGACGAATGCGAAGGTAAGTACCACTGCCGTAGCTCTAGGACCATTTTTACTGAAGTTATTTGCGAAAAACTAAAGTCCCAGCTAAGGGTCGTTGACCTGACCTCTGACCTGAGGTCACCAAAGCTACTTAAAGGGACCCTCCCACCTTCAAAAAAGTTAATGAATTGGCATGAAAGTGATGTCGCTCGGTTCAGAAAGAGCAAAAACGAATATCTACCAAATTTCATCGAAAAATATTCACCGGTTTTCAAGATATTAGACTTTTACTTTTGTTTACTTTTTGGGATCTCCGCTGTTCCTAGCGACTTTATTTGAAAGTGCGGCATTTGTTGCGCGCAAAGCAGCATATACCACCGCGTGCTACAAAACGTTTTAGTCAAACATTTAACGGACGTTCGAAAGCCTGATGACGTCATCAGATTCCCGTAATGGTTAAGAGATAGAGACCACGCTGGTCCCACCCTGCAAGTAAAGGGAAGAAATTTCTTGAACACCATAAAGCTGCGGGGGTTGCGACCAGGATAAATGGTGGTTTCTGAGCCTGGCCGCAAACTTGGCTATCTCAACTCAAAACTAATGTTAAGGTGGGAGGGTCCCTTTAAGTACTTTTTCTAGGTCAAATGCTACACAACCGTGCTCGTAATCTGTCTTTATCTCTAAAACTCTATTTTGGGCATCTGGTTGAAGTTCACGTCTGTGACGCCGAAGTTTGCCGTGCAGGAGTCTAGAAAAATCGGCCCTAAGACGTTATTAAGGAGGCTAGGTCCAATTTTGTTGCTTCAAAAGATGTGAAATTAATGGGGATAAGGTACAGCAAGTTCCGTCTATCTATTTCTAAGCGTTCGTGAGGTATCGGAAATATTCGCCAGGGGGAGGCGAAAACGCCCCCCCCCCTTCGGGCCCGCGATGGTCATGGATTTTGCAGATCGGCGTATCAGACAACAGTCGAGTCACCTCAATCTTGCCCCCACTGGCGAAAATTCGTGGCGCCGCCACTGTTATCTATGAAAGCATGCCGGGACGTATAGCAGGCAGCAGCTACGTCACTTTTCTTTCAATTTGGTTTTTACGTCATGCAAGCATTTCGCCGACCTTCTTCCAGAGATGTTTTGCGTGTTTCAGAGTTTGTGTGTTTGTGGGATTAGTTAGGTTGGGTTGAAAGTTGAAACCGTTTTTGTAAATGTGCGTTGTGGACCGCTTGTTGCATTCGAGTTCGATACGAGCATAGGATACGAGTTTGCCAATATTTATCAATTGATCAGTCAGTGTTACACTGCACTGGCACTGGCACATCATCACAATCATCAATCATGTTGAGCCCAGTGAGCCTGAGCAGATTGAACTGGCAGCTTTGAGGACTCGGGTTCAGCTTTACATCAAGATCAGTTTAAATGCCTACTTCTGCTTTTTATCTACCTATACTTAGCAATTATTAAACTTTAGTTAAATGTCAGTGTTCACCCTTTCCTACAACTTTCCTCCTTGTTTAAGACAGAAGGTTCTGAAGGCTCTTAAGACTTGGGCTGAAATTGAAATTGAAATAAACATTCAGCTCAGCTGTCAAAGTTGCATGTAGGCTGTTGAAATTGAAATGCACCAAATCCTACTCATCTATTTTGCTTATTTGCATGCACATTTTCTATGGCATGCACAGAGGCATACTGTGAATGATTGATGTGAGTGCAATGTAATGGAGTTGAAAATTGAATGGCCTCTCACATGTCAGGTTACCTGGTGACATTGTAGACATGAACCACCTGCGAATGACTTTTTGATGCCTGGAATCAAATCATCCGTGCCAGATTTCATAGAAAAGGACTTCAAACCGCTGAAATTTGATGTACTTACCCCAAAAACGAAATTCTACAAGTTCTCTCGTATCAGTTTCAATTATAATACCGGAGCCTTGACCGGAGCTACACACACACACAGCAGCAACAGCATGGCTTCATGTGCCATAGATGTAGAAGAATATGCCCGAACCTGGCCATTAAAAGAGATTGTGCATTAAGGCTGGAATGTCTGCAAAAAGTGGGACATCAAACATGTTTTATCCAACTATGTGCTCCTTTAGGATTTCTGCACATGGATATTCAGGTGCTATATCATTTTAGTTGCCATTCCAAAATCCAACCATGTTAATTGATGGGAAGCACTTGTTTCTCTAATTGTATCAAAATGGAATGAAATGTTGGTTGTTTGCACACTATAAGCAATTAAATACTGGCCATTTTTTTCTAAATCTGTTCATGTGTTTCAGAGCTGAACCCTCGCTGTGACGGGCTGCAGCCATGGCGTCGCACCGCGCGTGGCTGTCGGCCGCGCAGCTCTCGCGGCAGTTTTTCCAGTCTGCCCGCTATGTGCGTCCCACCAATTCGGTGGTCAACGACAGCTCGGAGCGGCCGGCGCCGGCGCCGCACCCGGCTGTCAGCCTGCTGCCGCTCTTCACCTGCGTGCCGCCGCCGCCCCTCAGCGCGCCCGTGAAACGCCGCTTCTCCACCGCCCTGCCGCGCGGCAAAAAGTACCACGAGGCCGAGAACGAGTTCGCGCACGAGGTGATGTCCAGTCTGCCGGCGTACCGGCGCACACTGCACTACCACGTGCTGGGCGGCGAGGCGGCGCCGCTGGACGCGCCCGTGCGCGGCCAGCAGGCCGGCTGGGCCGCCCAGACGGCCGCCACCCTGGTCAGCGCCATGCGGCGGCTCCAGGTGAGCGGCGACGAGGCGGGCGCGGCGGCCCCGGCGCCGGCCGAGCCGCCGGCCGCCGACCCGGCGCTGGCCTCCCGCTGCGCTCAGTACTCGGACGACCAGATCGTGTGTCTGCTGGCGGCGCTGTGCTCGTGGCCGCCGGGCGGTCAGCCGGACGAGCTGAGCTTCCGGCGGCTGTGGCAGGCGCTGGACGGCGAGTGCTGCCGGCGGCTGGCGCGCTGGGACGCCGAGCGGGCGCTGCTGGTGGCCGACCTCTGGTATCGGCTGCAGGTCAGCCGGCTGACCCAGTACAGCGGACACCTGCTGGAGCACCTGGGCCGCAGGCTGGGCCAGCTGTCGCCCTCGCAGCTGGTCCAGTACCTGTTCTTCGTCAACCTGTCCCGGCGGCTCGGCGGAGTGAAACAGGTAAGTTGGTGTCGAGGGTGACTCAATTGGTGGCTGTGGGTGTAACTACATAGAATCACTTATAGTGCTGGGATGAAGGGGAGCGGCTGTTGCGACAGTGTTAGTGCCGACTGCCAAGAATACAAAATATGGACTGAGCTGCTTCCAGGCAGAGTTGTCCATTAGCAACTTGTCGTGTGCTAAGTTTCGGCCGTTTTATTTTTCGGACCATCTTTTTTGCTCAGTCCAAGATTACCTAGAACCCTGGGGCCTGGCTCAGTCTGTTTTATGTCGTACTGCCATCAGATACAATAATTGTTCAATCCCGACCTAACGTGATCGTCAAGTCTTACGTAATCAAGCACCGCAAACACCATCATCTAATGTTTCACTATTTTTTCGTATTAATTTGGTCATTATCATGTCATTGGCCACGCTGCATTACTGCTATCGCCCAAAGCCCGAGGGATGTTTGCGTTATTTGGACATAACATGCAACCTTTGTCATGAATCAACTTCGTCATATTCAGGTAATAACACTATAACATGACCCAAAAATAATCAAATATAAATTCATGTAAGCTGCTGTCATGCGATTGATTATAGTTCCCTGGCTCGTTTACGTTGCTAGACGTGCGTGTAGCAACGTCATTTACGTTGTCTTTTACGCGTCGCTTACTTTGTACCTATCATAGTTCTTTGTTTGCCCATTGGTTGAACCATAACTTCTCACATGCATCCGACCAGTCAGCTTGTATATCGGGCCAGTCCGCCCCTTGCATTGACCCTTTATCTGATCCTCTCAAGCCACCCCAACCTGGTGGGTTATCGGGCTAATCTGCGGCTGTTATTTATCCCCGTGACGTTACTCTGTCCAGTGACGTCAGTGTTCCCCGTGTACGGGCCACTTGGGATGCACGCCGGGCGCGGTAAACAGCATGATGCAATGCGCTACTCGAGAAGGCACGGAGGTCGGTTTTGCCATTGGATCGGGGCCAATTCTTCATTGATTCTGTATGGTAATCCTCCCAGAGGCGTGTGCTAGAGATCATAATCACTGGGAATGTGCGGGGCGAGTAGCGGTTTCACCTAGTGTCCAGAGTAGTGTGTACGCGCTTAGCCTTCGTTGCGCAACTTGTGTTACCGGTCCTGGTGAAAGCGGGAGACCGTTACTGAGTGTAAATTTAGCTGAACACATTTAAGCTTTTAGCGTCAGCATACTCATCAGACGAGGATCATAGGCCAGAATCTGAGCAGGCTAACGAGTTTTGAGAAGCTTTTACCCTATGCCAAAATATGGCATTTATGTTCACGGAGTTAAGTAAAAATATGAATAAATAGATCGGGAACATCACCCGTTCCTTTGTCTGGTTTTGTGGCCCCAGTCCGACATGTTCCGACATTACAGGGTCTAGGGATTTTTATGGCCCAATTCTCCCCTCGCTCCATCCGCAGGTGGACCTGGAGCGGAAGATCCTGCAGTGTCTGCCTCTGCTGTCCGTCGACGAGCTGGGCATCATCTGCATGAGCTTCTTCAAGACGCAGACGCCGCTGCAGCTGGACGAGCTGGTGGACGCGGTGGTGTACAAGCTGCTCAGCTGCGTGGAGACGGCCAAGCCGGAGACGGTGTGCGCCGTGCTTAAGTTGCTCCGGCTCAGCGTGCCCGCCAGGAGGTGGCAGGTCGGTCGGGGACGAGGGTGCAGGGAGGGGACGGAACGCATGGTCTGACCGTTAGCCTGGTAGGCTAGTTTGTATGGAATGGAAATCATAACATATTGCGTCAAAATAGCAGAAATATTTTTATGTTTTGCGATTTCAAGGCTTGCGATGTTAGAGCTTGATTTGCTTGTGGGATAATGAGTTTTCTTTTTGCATCGTGACGGCCAGTGTCTTTATGGTCACTAGATACGCTGGTTTCTGGTAGTGTATTTCAATACGAGTGTTGAGTTGAATTTCTCGTACTTAGTGTGTAAAACGACACTCTGCTTTTCTGGCGCTCGAGATGCCATCTGAAGAATTGGATCAAACTGCTCTCTGCACTCGGCCTGTTCTGTGCTGCCCTCTGGAACACATGTATCGGCTCATGCGTCTACATATAGACTGCCGTGTCCTATAGCAGGTTCTAAATCTAGACTGTTTGCACGACCGTGTGATATGTGTCTGTACTTAAACTGACTGTCGTGTCCATTTTAACACTGCAGGTCCAGGAGCGTGTGTACGACCGCCTGTTGTCTGCATGAAGACTGTACGTCTTCTGACTGTAGTGTTTCCATTCAAAAGGTCCTGAAGCGTATGTACGACCGTGTGATATGTGTTTGTACTTCTACTGACTTAGGCGTCCCTTCAACAGGTTCTGGAGCGCGTGTACGACCGCCTGCTGTCTGTATTAAGACTGTACGTCTTCTGACTGTCGCGTTGTTCAACAGGTCCTGGAGCGCGTGTACGACCGCCTGCTGCCTCTGGTGGATGGGTTCAACTCGCTGGTACAGCTGCACCTACTGCTGCTGGGCACCCAGGCGCTGGTCCACCACCCGGCCGCCGTGGTACGGATCACGGCCCACCTGCACGGACAGCTGGCCAACATACGGCTCAAGGTGGGGACACAGGGCAGAGGCAGATGTGCGTCTTCCATGGGACACTACGGCTTGAATTGTAGCCCTGGCTGATAACGCTTAGCTTTCATCAACCCGTCCATTAAAGTCGTATAATGGCGTTTGTATTGCTGCTTTCAGTTCTTTCTCAGTGCCCACTCTTTATTTCGGCATCTCACGTATTATGATGCTCCAGACTAATGTTTATTCCTAAAGTTATCGATTTCCAACACCGACAACATCTGACCACGCCCCTCCTCACCCCCGGCAGGACATTGAGCGCCTACTGTTCGTCACCATGCTGTTCAACTTCGACCCGGGCGTGGCGTTTTTCGATGACGTCGTGTCTGACCTGCGCTCGGAGCGACGCGTCGAGGAGCGCAAAAAGTACCCCAAGTGTCTGATGTCGTGTCTGATGTACCTGGCCTACCACCGCGTGTACCCGGCCGACCTTATCGCCACCGTGGTCAGCCCTTCGTTCGTCAGCTCCATCAATGGTGAGAGCGGGGGGGGAGGGGAGGGAGAGGGGGTGGGGATCAGGGAAGCTGGGGCTGTGACTAGACTAGAGGGAACTAGAGGCTAGGAGCATGCCTTTTCTCTTGAAGACAACGGGAGATTAACCCTAGAACGCCTAGGGGGGGGGGGGTTGTATCAACCCCCCCCTGAGGTTTTTTTCGAAGTGCACGCTAAACGGCTTGTCGTAGCGGGCTGAAATTTTCAATACCCTCTGGGGCAACCTTTGCGCATCTTTTGCCGAAAAAAATTGATCGGGTCATGTCAGGTCACGGAGTTATGACGTCATAAGAGGTACAGCCTCCGGCCGACAGTTACTAAACGTGTGCGCCGAATCCCTAGGTTTTCTGCCGGTGATACCCACATTGTTTGATGGATCATGATGAAACTTCCCATGCATGTTGGGGCAAGCATTGGCTATCGTGTGGTGCAAGAAAATTGACCGGGTCAGGTCAGGTCACGGAGCTATGACGTCACAAGAGGAACAGCGTCCGGTACTATTTTTGAAAAGCGCCCGAACCACTATTTTGCTAATTCTTGTCACCTCAATGGGAATATGCAGCAATATTAGCTTCTATAGGGAGCAAATGGACCTCCCAAATCCAAAAATACAATCAGATTTCAAAAATTCAAATTTTGATTTTTCGAATTTCTGCCGCCGACTGTGACCTTGCCGACTTCCGGCGCTCCCAACGCGCCATTTTTAGAGCTAGGGAAACGAAATACATACCAAACGATAGAGAATTGATCAAGGAACACGATAGCGAAGGTTTCAAGTCGATATCTCCCACCGTTTTGCCGCAATCGCCGCGGAAAGTTGAAAAAGTTTGATTTTTTCGGAAAATTTGACCTTTGACCGGTCATAAGTAGGTCAAATGTTGACCTAGGACCAAAAAATATACCACCAATCGCGAGATCTCGTTGAGAGCAATCCGTTGGTTTTTTCCGCTAAGCTCTACGACCTTCCGTTTCGAAACGCCAGGGGGTCGAAACCCCCCTGGTCGTTCGTGTTATGAGAAATGGCCTGTCGTGCGAGGGTTAAGAAAAGTGAGAGACGAACGTCCTTTATCCGGAACAGGTTGACAGTATTTGGAATAGAAATAAAAAGACTGCGTTTTTACCATCAAATAATAATTCTTAGATGGTAACGAATCCATGACAGATGTAAAATGACGATAATAACTCAAGTTTATTGTACAAGACAAAGCTTTCGATACATACCATTTCGGTTAGAGGGCCTTGGATACATAAAGTATCTTGATCACTGTCAATGAGATGTAGAATATTTGAAAATTCACAAATAACAAAAACCGACGCAAGTCGTTGCATTTCTTTCTTCCTAACATGTGACATTCACCCTATGACACTTTCACTGCTAATTTTGCTGCTATGCTAGATCATGTAATAAACCCGTTTCTTGTGTTGAACGTATTTCTTGACATGATATGAGCCGCTTCGAGACATTTTCGTTTTCGTTTCTTCATATTTCGTTCCAATATTTTGGTATTGTCCCACTTCGGCAGGTGCTGGCATTCTTCTATGTGTAGTACGATCGCATTGGAAGTCCGGTGAAATTTGACATCGTTCTTATGTTCCTGTAATCGCGTTTTTAATCCCCTTCCTGTCTCGCCTACGTAAGTCTTATAACACCCCGAACAAGGCACTTCGTAAACAATGCTCTTCTCGGAGCCTTCGTTTTTCTCTTTTCTTTCTAATATGTTCTTGATTTTCTGTCCTGAGTTCGTAGCAATCCGCACACCTATGCTCTCTAGTTGTTTTGAGATGGCATTCGCTTCTCTTGAATAGGGAATCGTTATCCATCTATCAGGCTTGTCTGTACGCTTCTTCATTTGTCCTCTCTTCTTTTTCTTGACGATTTCTTCTGCTTTTTTCCTCTGCTGTATCAGAAAACCCTTTGGGTACTTCAATCTTTCAAAGGTCTCGTATATGTGCTGAAGTTCTTCTTGTAAGTAGTCATCATCACAAATCCTAAACGCTCTAAGGAAAAAGCCAATAACTATACCACTTTTCATCCTGTCTGCATGAGCCGAATAAAAATGCACGTAATCTTCCTTGTTAGTAGGCTTTCTGAAAACTTTAAATTTGAAGTTGCTGTCCGTCCTCAAGATGGAAGTGTCTAAAAATGGCAGCTGGGCGTTCTGTTCTTTCTCCAATGTAAACTGTATCTTTGGGTTTTGGTAGTGGTACCGCAAGACATGGACTTGGACGAAAAACTGAACCTCTTGAATGCTGTCAACCCATGCTGACTTTGGTATGCTGAATGCTGAATGCTGACTTTGGTATACACAACATGGCGGAAATCGTTAGACATTCTGGCCCATATACGGCCAAGGCGAGTGCCTCCCCCTGGTCACAACGTAAGATAAATGCAGCCTTTTCTACATGCTGCTTAGTGCTGCCGTGCAGTTTGGAAGAAGTTTATTAATGTCGAAAATACGTGACCATATTTTCCCTGCCAATAAATATTTGATAGCGTTGTTGACGATAGTAGCGGCTTGTGGCGTGCTTTCCGTGCTCCGTTTGATGTGCTGTTATCAATGCTTACTCTCCTCTGGGAACGCCAGACGATAACTGGTGCTATGAATATTGAACATGGTATGTCATCATTACCAGTAGTAAATTAATCCCATTGCTATCAGTCCTTCAGGAAAAGGTGGTTTTCAATTAGTTTGATCATAGACCTCTTCACATAAACAGGTGAACGGAGGTACCTACAAGGTACCTCCGTTAGCTTGGCGTTAGCAGGTACCTACAAGGTACCTGTAGTTAGCTTGGTGTTGTACCTATCTGAATCGGGGTAGGAAATCGACGCAGCTTGAAATATGGCACCATTTCCCTTTTTAAGAGAACACGAACTGAGTGTCCCAAAGAGATCTAGTATTTCGCGAAAACAAACCCCGAGCAACCAGGCCCAGTTCGGCAGAGCAGTCGCTGAAGGCAGTTTTAACACTCTATAAGCATTAACTACAGCCCCCGTTAGCAAGCTGCCTTCCCTGACAAGTGACAAGTTACAGCCCCATTTAATTTTCGGTTAATGTCGTTATTGATCACGCAAACTGTGTGTTACAGCATGTTAGAGTTGTTTGAAAAAAGTAGCGTGTTGCATCAATCACAATGAATATAAAAAAAGGATTTGTTAGCTTTTACTCTAAGTCTTAATGTATAGGTTTGCTTCGAAAAAGTATGTTTCAGTGCAGTTCGGATCTTGGGTTTGTCCGGGCATGGTGGCGGTCCTAGCGTGAGACCAGCCTGCTCTGTTTACAAGCCTATGTGCAATGCATACTGATGTCGACTCGTACGTGGCTTGTTAGGAAAGCACCTCTTTTTGCCCTTGGACAAATGTATTGAACAGTGAACTCTTGTGGGCGTTTTCCGTATTTTCAGCTGTTGGTGCGTTTTGTTCCTTTCCAAATGTGGCCATGCTGCAAGCCGTGCTGATCGCACGCTAGCTTCTATCAGTCGACTCAGTTGCTAAATATATGACGTTGCTTAGATAACATTTACGTGAAAACCTGTACGTGTTTCATTGCGGAGAACTTGTGGAATGAGTACTTCGCTGTTAATACTTGTGGTTCTGATCGTATTCCCAGCTAAGATGACCCTGGATATCTACTGACCCAGTGGCCCTTCCCCTTCCAACCCCCTGTGACCCCCTCTCTCCCCCGGCAGACTCGATGCTGTCGTCCTACAGCGGTCTGGAGCGTGAGCTCACCGCTCTCAGCTGTACGCTGGAGCTGGAACTGCCAGGATTCGTCTCCGAACTGCCCAAAGAGTACCGACAGAAACACCTCAAGGTACGTTTGCCTGCGCTGAAACGCCATCGAGGGCAAGGCGCAGCGGTCTGTCTGTTCAGCTTTCAGATGCGTGATAAGGTAATGCGAAGGCGATAAATTACCTCTTTATGCAGTGTTTTACGTAGTGAGTTACGTAATCTTATTGGTCGTGACATCTTGAAACGCAACTGTTATACAACAGATTGGAAGGTTTTTCGGGAAAACTCGATTCGTTCGTGCAGCCGTTCGTGTCCATTGGTAGTCTAAATCCAATCAATGTGATGGAGATATAAAGGACGTCTCTTAGATTCAGTTTACATTCCTGATAAAAGCTAAGGACATGCCATTTTTATTGGAAAAGATGCGTAGGATAGCGGAATATTTCAGTGTTGAGAGTTGAGACATACCTTTTTAGTCACTGTGTGTGCCATTTTTAAGTGTTTGAATTCCTTTTTTCATTTTCCCACACAGTGTTCCATTTTTGGGAATTTTGGGTGGGAAATCACACCTAATGGGCAAAATATTTTCATCCCCAAAACCAGGTAAATTGGAATTCTTTCATCTTTGAAAAATGCTCAACGCATGCTCAACAATTAACAGCCAGATTACCAGATACACCTAGCAGCGCCATATAGACAGAACTTACAGGTTTGCTCCATAATGCGCAATTTCCATGAAAAAAGATGCTAAATCAAGGCACAAACCCAACAACTCACCCTGACTGACAACGAAAGAAAATAACCTTGCACACTTCCAGCTGTTAATAACAAATATGCGTTGAATGACCTTGATCACCTCAACTGTTTGTAAAAACCAGGCTTGTGTTCTGAATAAATGCTTTTGGATATTCATAACAACTATGATTGGTGGTTTGCTGCCAACGCAAAACGAATGAGCCGCTGCTTGCGCAAATTAAACACTACCTCTGCAATTCGCTTTTGACTAAGTTACGCAGGATACGCCTACAAAATTTTCATCTTTGGACCCGCAGTCAGCTGGGCACACCCTGGCACACCCTAGGGATGAATTTAAAACTTGGTGGGCTCTAACTTTTTTCATATACAAAATAGGGTTATAAGACCGATACCAATTTATTCTACATTCATTTCTGATCCTGTTGTATCAATTTCACCACAAATTATGTCCGTCAATGGCTTCTAGAGGACTTTAAAGCTCGATGCGTCGGGCCTGGCAGAGGTCCAAGATGAGAAAAGCCACCCTGCGCACACCCTAGGGATGAATTTAAAACTCCGCAGTCTCCGGCTGGTTTCATAGGTAAAATAATGTTTTGAGACCGATACCAATTTATTCTGCGTTTATTTCTGATCCTATCGCATTAATTTCGCCACAAATTATGTCCGTCAATGGCTTCTAGAGGACTTTAAAGCTCGAGGCGTCGCGCCTGGTAGAGGTCCAAGATGAGAAAAGCCACCCTGGGCACACCCTAGGGATGAATTTAAAACTCCGCGGGCTCTGGCTGGTTTCATAGGCAAAATAATGTTTGAGACCGATACTTATTTATTCTGCGTTCTTTTCTGATCATATTATATCAATTTCACAACAAATTATTAACGTTATTAGTTTTTTAGATGTCTTTAAAACTCGAGGCGTCGGGTCGGGCAGGGGTTCAAGATGACTGACACGCCACCCTGGCACACCCTAGGGATGAATATGAAACTCTGTGGCCTCTGGCAGGTTTCATACGCGAAATGAGATTATAAGACCGGTAATGATGTATTTTACGTTAATTTCTCATGCTTTTGCAATAATCTTACCGCCAATTATTCATTTCAATTAGTTTCTAGAGGTTTTTAAACACGAAGCGTTCGGCCGAGGGAAAGCCAAGATGAGTGAAAGGATACCTTGGCACACCTCTAGGGATAAATTTAAGATACGGTATTCCCAGATCTGCCCAATACATGTTCTGAAGATGGTAGATTGGATTAAGAAGGCCCTAGCTTTTTAATAAATTATCCCTCGCCCGTAGGGGGGGGGGGGTCGAACGAACCACCCCCTCGTTTTTTTCGAGAATAACTCGCGAAAAAGCGGCCGATCGCGACGAAACTTTCAGGACCCTCGAGTCAATTAATTGGACACCTACTCTGAAAATCTCATATTCCTGACCCAAATGACCTTTGACCTGTGACCTATTTCTTGAGGCCATGTTTGGCCGGAATCGCGATTCGGCGTATGTCGGCTCGCATTATGTCCTGATGTCCTGATCAGCGATGCCCTCCGTTCCGTTGCAGTTGCTCTGATCAGTGATCACTGATGCCCTCCGTTCTGTTGCGGGTGCTCTGATCACTGATCACTGATCAGTGACGCTCTCTCACTCAGCACTTACCACGTGACATGATACGTAGCTACCGCTCCGTTTCGGTGGCCGGCCATGAGGTCGGTGGCATCCTTTTATCATTTTTTTTTTGCGTCCCGTTCCGTTCCGATACGGATGCCCTGGTTAGTTGCACACTTTATATTGCGATGTTGCGCATTATGCTGCGCAGTGCACATCGTTCCGTTTGGGGTGCCCTAATCAGTGACCCTTTTTCTAGTCTCATGTAGTGCACCGTTCCTTTCGAAGAGTTGCACTGACACCGTTTCCATTTTCACTATGCGTAATGAGTACCGACTATCGCTGGCCGTTCCGGCGTTCGGGCCGGGAGATTTCCGGCGTATGTCATGCTGCATAGTGCGACTGCAATTGCATACTCAATACTGCGTCCCGTTCCGTGTGCTCAGAGCGAAGGCACCATTTCCAGTATCATCCAGCCATTGTCATATCTGTTGAAAATGGAAAGCTCAAAGCTATATGTGTACACTGTACGAATGTTACCAGGTCAGATGCGAACGAAAACTACGTACTTATATTGCCGCATATTATCTCAAATATACAGTAATCTTGGAAGCAGTGCTGCCATATTGTAGGCGCAAAACGTCCCAGAGGCCAGAACACATGAGTTATACGGTTTCTGGTTTCATAGCGATCAGTTACGTCAACGAACTGCCCATCAGGGTATCATGATTACCTAAGATTTTATGTCTGACAGTGTCACAGTGATGACCACGCCTCACGCATTACACAGTCTGAGTCAACTGCACTAAATCAATAATACAGGACGACCGAATGATACCCTTTGCAACGGCAACGACAGGTTCCTTGCCACTTCCTTTGCTTAAAAAAGAAAGAAAACTTATCCACATGGCAAATTACACTACACCAGACCAGATACCTTGACCAGTGACTAGAACCAAAGCCTGCATATAGGGAGAGCTCCCTCACCCGCCCCTCCCCCACCCTCCTTAAGATATGATACAAGATTTCAACAGAATAATTGCATCTTCTGCTTCTTAAAGACCTAGTTCGCTCGCATGATGGCGACTGGCGTCGCGAGGATGGAGGTCCGCGGATGATCTTCTTTAGGAGAAATATACAGGCAGAAGGACCGTCCTGGATCCGTGCCAGTAAGCATGAGTAGGAACTTAGCAGATGCTGACGGTAATATCTGCTGTCTGCATCTGAAACGGAAAGGAAGGCATTGATTTAAGGCTAGGAGAAGGATGGCCACTGGACTGTCATTCAATTGCGACAATGCATTTTGACTTGTGAGGAAAATGAAATCTCACTGGTTGAAGTAGGTATTCATTCTTTGCTGTATAAGAGACAAGGGTGATTCTTAAATTCATTAGTCTCAATCAAACACAAATGTTGGGATAAAATGGGACGGATTTAGAAACACTTGGCGATCAGATGTTAAAGTTATAATTCTGCCGTAGATCATCCTTACCTATTTGCATCGTCTTTTTCGGTTAGTTTTGGTGGTCAGGAATGGTATGTTCTTATTATCAGCCAGCGTAGCGTTACGCCTTTATTGCGAAAGTGATATAGGTTTTCACTTCTTTTTTTCTCATCCTAGATTTTTTGGTCATCATCGTCACACCCAACCAAAATCCAATTTTAGAACACTGTCCCACAATGCTTTGTAATAATAGTCAATCCTAACTTCAAAAATCAAGTGGTGTAATGCAAAAAAAAAATCGATGAAAATTTGCATTCCTTTTACTCATAAATGGAAGGGCATTACGCATTGCACGGTTGGTCTCTAACTCTCTACCACATCCTTTTTGAGCTGATTTTTTTACCGAATGCTGAGTGCTGAGCCAAAGTTGTATTGCCCACCCACCGCTATAAAATGACACCCATTCTCTCTGTCCGACTCACAGAAGCACATGGCCCGTGTGCCGCGGCCGGGCACCGGTCGCCTGACGTTCGCCGAAAACACCCAGCTGGCAGTGCGGGCCACTCTTGCCGAGCTGCTCGGCGGACCGGACCGCGTGGCCGCCCTGCACGTGCTGCCCCACTTCGTCACACCAGGTACGTCAGAAAACATTGCAGATTTGATGCATTTATGTCGATACTGCACTGATTTCTTGTGCTGTAACGAATATTGTTCCTTTTGACGAACACAGGAAAATCATTGACGCCATGAGTAAACTCATCCGACCCTCTCGGATGCTACTTACAGCAATTGGCCTGTTCTCAGCCGCGCCCTTCCCCCTCCCCAGCAGCCCCCACTGATCCCTCCGCCCGCCGTCCGGCAGACGGGTTGTGTTGTGTCCGGATGGCTCGGGCCGCGGGCTGGCCTCCCCCTGCTGCCCCAACTGACCCCCCCCCCCCCCCCCGCCGTCCGGCAGACATTGTGGTGTGTCTGGACAGCTCGGGCCGCGGGCTGGTCCTGCCGCCGGCGTACATCCGTCAGCCGGCGCTGGCCGCCAAACGGCCGCTGCCCGGTCTGGGCCACTGGGTGTGTGTAGTGGTGGGAGGTCGGAGCTGCTACACCAGAAACGACCAGCACCCGGTGGGCAACTTCCTGATGCGGCTGCGGCAGCTGCAGCTGGTCGGATACAGCGTGCTAGAGGTGAGGAGGGTGGACTTGGAAGGTGGACGGGGTGGGGACGGGGTGGAATGGTGGAGTGATGTGGACTGAGCAGGGATGCGGAGCCGTGGGAATTTCAGACGGCTCCGGCTCCGGCTCCGGCTCCGGAGAAAAAAATCGGCTCCGGCTCCGGCTCCGGCTCCGGGTGAAATGTCATGGCGGCTCCGGCTCCGGCTCCGGCTCCGAGTAAAATGATCCGGCTCCGGCGGCTCCGGCTCCGGCGGCTCCGGCTCCGGCGGCTCCGGCTCCGGCTTCTACTCAGTACATCCCCTATGCGATCAATTAAATACGGGTGGAAGAAAAAAAGGCGATGGGATTGGTACACGTTGCTTCTGTATTTGCATAACAAGGTTATTTGAATACCACATTGTTTTACGCCTTGTACTGTCAAACCGAACTAGGTAAATAATTGTTTCCTCTTAACCCGCGCCCCAGTGGCGGTCTCAGCCAACTTCGCCCTAGTGGGGGGGGGGGGGCATATGTTACCACCCACCTCTAGCTCAAAAACTAAGAGGGCCCTCTAACTCAAAAACTAAGAGGGCTAGAAAGACGCAGTAAAAAGCAGTCGATAGCTCTCAATGCGTACGTTTGAAAGTATTATAGTCATTTTTCACCTTAGAGCAATATTGGGGTCACCAGAGGTCATCAAAGGTCAAAATTTGCCAATTGTCATTATATTTTTCAGAAAACATGCCGCTATCTCAGGAACTATGGTAGCTAGAATAACGCATGGGAGAGCAATCGATAGCTTTTGAACTCTTCTTTTGAAAAGGTCATTATCAATATTGACCTCAGGTCAACGGTTTAGCCTCCAGAGGGCAAAAACTCCAAAAATAGCTGTTTTTACGAAAAGTGTTTTTCGACAATAACTTTCGACTACAAAAAGCCACGACATTTCTATTGCCAGAATCGTGTTCCCCTCGCCGAGACGCGTCGAATGAACTATAATTTGACCTTGAAAGGTCAACTTGAAAATTTGACCTCAGGTCAAGGTCATGACCTTACCGGAAAAGGTCATTTTGCATATCAGTCGATGCGTCTCAACGAGACAAACACAATGAGACCATCCCCAGCGTTCTATCTCTTTCCAATCGCGAGTTACTGGCAAAAAACTGTTTGTAGCCTCAAGTGACCTCGGATGACCTGTTTAGAGGCTATCAGCAAAAATGACACCTTGGTCATCACGAGTGGACTAAATCATAGTGATTCTGAAATATTTGGACTGTTCCGATGCGTACACACGGATCTAGAGGCATTTTCATTTTTCTCCATTGACTTGTAATGGAAAGGTCACGCCACTGACCTGACCTTAGGTCACGGATATAACAAATCCGAGATATACAAATTGTAGGCGCCCATAACAGCATGCAATCCACCAAGTTTAAAACCTTTCTGACAAACACTGCAGGCTGGACATGATTGCAAACTTTTGTTTAGGCTTGGTCAGTTAACTTGACCTGGTGACCTGACCTGACATGACCTGGGGTCAAAAATTTCACACATTGTCCAAAATTGATGTACCAAAAGCTACCCCAAGTGGCGCGGCGCTACGCGCCGCGGTTTTTTATTCACACGCAAAAAACGCGACAGGGTGGTAGCATATGCCCCCCCCCCCACTGGGGCGAAGGTTAAGAAAAGGAGCCGGAGTCGCCCCTTTTTTGACGGCTCCGACTCCGGCTCCGGCTCCGGGCTATTTTGTTTCACGGCTCCGGCTCCGGCTCCGGCTCCGGGCAAAATATGCCGGCTCCGGCGGCTCCGGCTCCGGCTCCGGCTCCGGCTCCGCATCCCTGGGACTGAGTATGCATTAGTGTGGTGTGTGGTGTGGACGGTGGTGGAAATTGAATGGGTAGTACGCGTCTTCGCCTGTAAAACGTTTTTTTTTTTTTGCGTTCGAACTTTTTAATTTTTTTCTGTAGCTCCGCTGTCATGATGAACTCTACGAGATGGCCCGGTTCACTCCAATCTTCTCGGGACTAACCAACCTGTCTCCCTGTCTGCTCGGTCAGGTTCCGTGGTACGAGTTCCAGGACAAGTCACACCGTCTCGGCTACCTGCGCCGTAAACTGCAGCAGCTGAGTGTCCCGCCGCCGGTGCCCCTGACCCCTCCCGGCGGCAGCCCGCCCCGCGCCGCCCGCCTCAGGTAGGGGAGGGAAATGGCTGCGGTACCGGCGACATTTCGGGAACGTGACGTTAGTGTACACTGTACACTGTAAACCTTCGGTGAACGCATGGTTTGAAGGCGTTATGATATGACAAGGTCAGTGTTAACGTGATGTGACGAAAACGGTATCGCCTGTGGCGTTATTCACGAGCTGAGCTGGTGTGTAGCCGATGGAACCATAACGCACTATCAGAGAGACCTCTGGCTCCTGTGTTGCCGAGACCTCGCGACTCTTATCCACTCGGTGCAGCGGCGGGCTCGTGAAGACTCCATTCAGTAAAGGAAGCCAGGGCAGGTGCAGCGCGCCATTGGCGAGGGAGCTCCCTGTCGGGTGAATGAAAGCCGTACAAGAGCGTCGTGGTAGAGCCAGAGGCGGGGATAATCTACTACGTAAAGCGTGCGGCGTGGTGAGCCGCCGGGATCTGCTTGTACTTAAAAGTGTCCCTGACAAAAGTACAAGTCAGAAAGTACAGTTTTTCGTGCAGTGAACAGGACTCTGGTGTTTGTTTTTCATGGAACAAGAGTTACCGTCTCACCGCCAACTAGCTATGTCCTGCTTGTTTTATCTTTTTTTTTGCGTCAGTGTGTGTCAATGTGTGGTAGTCAAATTTGTTTATGTTTGTTGGACTCCGCTGGCCTGAGTGACAGCTTATGGTTCAACAGGGATCTGACGAAGTCTCTGTCTACGTGAATGTGTAGGCCAGTGGACAGTTCTATTCGCCTTGTTTGAGATTTTTCGAAAGTTGATTTATATCCTTAAGACAAGAACATTATGTTTATTTCTTTCATTCAAAAGCCTCCTTCATTTTATGCTGGCATAATTAAATGAGGATGGCTTTCTCAAAATGACAAAGAATGGGAGGGCCTCTGAGCAGTGCAAAGATTTGTTAGTAAGTGTGTGTAGGTTAGCGGGAAGGTACCGAGTGAACTCATGACAAACTCAGTCAAAGGTGTTCACATGCCGCGTCCGTCATACTCATCGTTTTATGGGAAACACTCTGATATCCAATGTCAATCTTGGGAAACAGGGATGCCAGTGGAACACTGCTGGTTCACTGCGGTGGTATACACTGTGCCTGTTTTTATTTCGATGAGTTTAGTTGTTCGGTGCTCTCTGCTTGTACGCGTTTGATTGCTGGGCAGTGGGCGTCTGTACTGTCGCTTTGACTCTGTCATTGGTGCTACTTTGAGCTTAATATGACGTGGTACTTAATTGTCTCACTTTCATTTGGTGCTCATGTGAACGCTAGTTTCTCACTGTGTGCATTCGGTCTGAACTGACTGCAACTCACTGAAGTGACTGAGTAGATGTGCGCCGAGATTCAACCTATGTCTGTGTGAGTGTGCCTTGGACAACTTACTATCGGTGCTCTGGGTTGACTTCTCACCCCGAACTGAGAGTACGCGGCTACGGTTGGGCTCCGGCTGACATTTCGTAGGGGTCTGCCCAAGGTATATCATGCAGTCAGTTGACTGTCCGTTTCTGTCATAGCATTCGCTACCGCAGAATAGAACACGGTGCAAGGAACTGAGACCTTTAAACCACCGTTCGTGTAACCCCGCGGGCCCTCATCGGTAACTAATGCGCCATGGTGTTTTATCGGTGGCCAATGGCACCGCTTACGTCGTGCTTTGTATTTTTGGACGGTTGTCTTATCGGCTGTGAGTGAACCTAACGCAATTTGGTTGCGGCCATGATGTGACATTTGTGTAGTAGAATCTAATTGGGATGCGAGAGGGTATGTTCGCTCTCACGGCTTTGATTTCAGAACTTCGATTCATCGGAGTTTGCTTCTTTACCGAATTAGTGTTTTGTCTTTAGGCTATTTACTACTTGCAGAGACGCTGACAGCATTGCAAACGGCCGATCGTTCGCCGCTCAGTGTTTTTCTAGCGTCACGTTTTGAACAAATGTTGCTGTGCCGACTCGTTTAGGATAAGCACCATTCAGAGTAGACAGTTGTGTGTATGCAATATTTTGGGGAGAAAATATAATATTGTACAAGTTTGTGCCTACTACATGCTAGTTTTTTTTGCCGATGATACTAAATGCAATTGTGCTGCATGCGTGATGCGAGAACGAATGGATTGCAGACAAAAAAATTAACTATCCCATCTCTGAATGATACGGTGACTCGCTGACGTTTTTTTTTTTCATTTAGTGACTGGGTCAATCATCTTCTGCTGGTATAACACGCAAGCTTCACAAACCATTGAACACACCGCAATATTAACGATGATCTTTCGTCTCTCTGCTATCCCACGCCCAGAATAAGCCGACCACCGTCTGCCGAACTCCGGCACTCGCCGGCCGCTTCTTGCTGCCACAATGATGTATCGCTGTGGGAAGGTGGCCTGCCGCCGTGCACTGGACTGACACCAATGAATCATAGGTGGAGGTGGGAAATCAGTGTCCGTCCCATCCGTGAGTAGGTATTTCTGGATTTGGAGGTCGCAGCTCTCGAGTGTGCGGCTGCTTTGCTAAGACGATGGTGCAACTGCAGACACACAGATACACGCAAATGACAATGGTTCAGCGATAAAGGGAAAGGGATGGTGAGGGGATGGATTATAATCAGGCTTTAAAATGGAATAAATGAAACAGTTGCGAATTTGATTCGCGAGTGTTCAGGACATTTTGACGAGTGTCACATAACCTGCGACCATCGCATTTATTGAAATTGGTTCCGTATCATTTTCATTTTTAGTTTGTGTAGCTGGGCGTTCTCCGTGCTTTATCTCACCATTATTAATTCGTTTGCAGTGAACAGTAGCATTGGGTCCTATAGCCCACAGCTTCGCCCGGGTGACGCCTACCTCCGTCCTATGAGCTCTGCCGCCCGGTGTGACCGACCAGGTCATTACTGTGACCATCAGAGTGATGCGGTCGGCCCCGAAATGACCTTTGCGACCGTCCGCCCCCGAGCGCGGCCCATCAGCCGTCGCCGACCGGTGTAGGTGCGTGAGGTGCGTCTCTGGAGAGCGGCCGGTTTTCACGGAGCTCGGTGAATGACCAAATAATGACCCGAGGCCGTAACAGTATCATATGCCTGTGGCAGTCTCATTCTGCATACAAACATCATTGTACCTGTAGAATTACCCTCGGCCTTCGGTCTCGTGCTGCAAACTCAGCAAATCCATCGGTCCTGAGTGAAACATTTACTGGCCCCATGTGATAGGTATTGTATATGTCTGGTTAACCGTACCGATATTTCATGACTTGCGGTATTACATTGCTTAGAAATGATAAAGTTTCAGTGAAAAGGTCACGCCCTATCGCTAAGTATGTAACTTCAACACATTGTTGAGCTTCTAATTGAGCTCGATGACAATTGACACAAGTATCAGATGAGCACCGTATTTATTATATTGAGGACGAAGCGATGTTTGTCTAGCTGTTTAAGACCGATTGCCGCTTATAAGTGGTTACCGCTACGTGATCCTGGACAAGAGCATACCCCGATTCCCTGCCAGGCTCCCGGCCGGCATGTGGTGCTCGTTCGGCTATCTGGGTTGTTTTCGAAGGTGTGAATGTTGTTGCTTGGAGTTCCATTACCACTCGCTCGTCTGACGGTATCCGTACTGGAGGAGGCGAGCCAGCTAACTACCAGTAAACTCGGCAAATGCTATCGCTAGCACACTTTTGAGAGAAACTCGGCAGCTCTGAAGGCTGGTCAAACAGCTAACTTCCCAAAGTTACCCGGGTGTGAATAGTTCATGCGATCTACAAACAAATGCGGCAGTCTCAGGGGCTCAGCGCATCACGCGGAAGAGCTGCTGTCGACTTTGCGCTATATTTGGGTTCCATTGACCTGTGCAACAATCTCAATGACGTCAACCGTAGATTTGTGGTAGGCACATCTCTTAGTATATTGAGGAGTAAAAAGGGTAAAAGGGTCGCCGTCGGCGTAAAAGGGCATTGGAGGTAAAATAGAATGTAATCGGAAGTTGCATGTTATAGAATATTACACTCAATGAGGGTATGATTTCTTATGATTTGACCTGCAATCGACTGGTCGTCATGCATGTTTAAGTACAGGTACGGTATTGGTTGAGTTTTGGTGTTACATCGGTTGACACTTTGCAACAGGCGTCACAATATCATCAAATACTCATCTTCTCTTCAGGTCTAATGGAATCTAGATCAGAATTACCGGAACAAACATTTTTATCAGTTGTTTGGCTTATTTGACCTGAGTGTGACCTGCACAAGAAAATAAGAATGCATTGACGGCTTAATTTCTTCTGGTAACCAGTATTATGTCTTTCCGGGAGCATTCGTTTAGCTGATAAGCAAAGTCAGATGATATTTACCCCCAGCGGAGCGTCCACAGCTGAACTATCAGAGGAACGTGGAATAAGTTACCCCGGTGCTCTCGGAATATCCCAATGGGAGAACGTCCGACCTCCGAGTCGACCGGCAAGACGCGGAGGTGAGAGACCACCCGAGCCGACTCGGCGTTCTCCATTGATCCTGGAGGGGGAGAGCCAGCTTTCAATGGCAGAGGCCGCCTCACTGATCAGATTTGCTCACTGGTAAGTGCCAACTGCCAAGTGGGGTAGACGGTGTGCGACTTTGCAGCAATCTTCTATGTTCATACGTCCGGCTCTGAATCCTCCCGTCTGATATAGCTTGGCAGCTTGGCGTAAAAAAACGCGTGTGTGTCCGTACACTGTATTTGCCCTGCTTAGTATAAAATAAGCCTTACTTAGCTCGAAATGACCAAAATGTGCTGACGAAAAGACGGCAACAGTGGGGACACTGCAGCTCTGTCGGACCCGAGCCCGGATCTCACTCAGCCCCTCTCCTCCATCGCTATAAGTAGGGAAGGGACTCCCCATAGCGATCCGAAAGGCTGCGAACAGCTCGAGTGGTCGGTGGTCATTGGTCACTACACCGGGCTGACCTCACCCCGCGGCGCGGCTGCGGCCGGCGGCCGACAGGCGGCGGTGGCGGCGGCCGCAGGTGGCCGCCGGGCCGTTACAGCGCTGACCGGCGTGCTCCGACGGTCCACTATCGTCCCCCGTCGGCTCCGACGCCGCTCACGTCGGCGGCATCCCATCGGTGACGCGGCCCGTCGCGTCGCGCCCCACCCGGCCGGAAGTTTCATCTCCATCCCTCTCTCGGCGCGGTGGCCGCTGCTGCCCAGTGGATGACGCGGCCGCACGCACACCAGAGCTATTCGTTGTTATTGGTGGGCCGTTTAATTTGGTGCGCCAATTTGGCCATACGGCCCGAGGCGGGGAGCTGAACTGGTGCCTGTGCCACCGGCGATCGCTCCCGGCCGGGCACCGGACGGCGATTGACACAACTCGGCCGATGCAAACAAGCTCGTTGGAGCGTCGCCCTCAGTATGAGGAGTGGGCCGGGATGCGCTATCTGGTGTGGGAGGTAAACATATGGGGAGCTGGCTCACCCACTCTGAGAAGTGAAACGTTGGAAGCGTCGAAACGTGCGAACTTATTTGGCAAATACCCGTTTCTCTTCATCATGTTCTTTTTCACTCGTAGCCAACACTGGCAGAATACCTAAACTACGCATGTCACGTCTTCAGTTCTAATTAACCCTCGCCCGTATTGGTGTTTTTCCAGCCGAGAACGTATAAGGGGGGGGTCCGTTGGACCCCCCCCTTGCCGTTTCGCCCCTGATCGAGCTAGAGCTTCGCGGAAAAAACGAGCGTGTTGCCCGTGACGAGAGGAAGCCGATGATACCTAACTTTAAGGTCCTAGGTCATTGGTTGACCTTGCAGGTCAGGTCAATGACCCAAAAGTCGGGAAAATCGGGACCTGTTAGAACGTCGTAAAGTGTGGCTGCTACGGGGTTTTTCGGGGTGCTGGTCACGAATATCATGTTAGTTTTGATCACAGATGATGTCTTCATGCATTTAGTCCGGGTCGGGTCAGGTCAGGTCAGGTCAACCAGTAGGGGTCCTGCCGGGTATTCCTAGTAGGTGTCAACCGCCTCTGATAGCTTCGTAACATGTTACGAAGGCACCAAAACTACTTCGTAAATGTTCAAATGGTTGCTAAATTCGAATTCAGCTGCAAAAACTGACCTAGAAACATGTAAAACTCGAAAAAGTGTACCGAGGTCATCAAAGGTCAATGACCTGACTTGACCTTCAGGTGACCTTGACACCCACTCTAACGCATGGGGGCAACATCATATCACATGTTTGAACGCTTGAAACCACGAAAAGACTGCAAACGCGCGGCTAATGCGAGCCGACATACGCCGAATCGCGATTCCGGCCAAACATGGTCTCGAAAAGTAGGTCACAGGTCAAAGGTCATTGGGGTCAGGGTCATGAAATTTTAAGAGTAGATGTAAAATTGATTAACGCGAGGGTACTGAAAGTTTCGTCGCGATCGGCCGCTTTTTACGCGAGTTATTCTCGAAAAACCATGGGGGGGGGGGGTCCGTTCGACCCCCCCCCCCCTATACCGGCGAGGGTTAAAACAGGTGTTTGGGTTGTAATTCGCAGTTGCACCTCTTATGACAATTCCTTTGAGCATCTTAGATTTGTCAAGAAAAGAAAACACAAGTAATGTAGTATTTGAATAAAACGCAAATGTGATGAAATACTAGGACTTACTCCACAAGGAGATCGAATGGGTCGGAGCGCTTTCAATATGTATTATACATATCGATATATTATACATATCGCTCTGCCGCGCAGCTCCCGAACCTCTTCGATACCCGACTCGATTCGACCCGTTATTGATTCGCTGACGACGATATGTATAATACATATTGAAAGCGCTCCGACCCATTCGATCTCCTTGTGGAGTAAGTCCTAGTATTTCATCAATTTAATTCCATCTCCACATCATGTCATTACGTCAAAACGCAAATGTGTTAACCCGGGATGCCTTGAAAATTGCCATCGCATGCTATACCAAATACCATTTACCAATCATGGACGTTTGAGAAGCTCTGGAAGATTTGGATGTGGAACACTGATAAAAATGGGTGGTGGCTGCACTCGCCTTATGCTGCTTTCATGCGCTTATGTGTT